AAAAAAAAAGTCCTTGATGTTCTTATTAGAGAACATACTAGAAGGTGGGATTGGAGTCTATACATTGGTTCTGGGTTTTCTATAGTATTCTTCAAGAGCTTCTATGTTATTTTGGTTTTTTTCTTTGTTTTTCTGCCATTTCTTAGGGTCAAAACTTGAAGTAGACCATATCCATCTATTAGAGCACGTTTGGTAGCTATCAAAATGATTAAAGCCTTGACTTGGGATGCCAAAATTAAGAGTTGTAAACTGTGATTTCAAAGTGGCCACACTTTTCTAGTGGTCTGGGTATAAAGTTTCATGTCTAAGGAGTTGGGACTGTTTATTCTTTGGTTTTATTTTGCATGCATCTGGTGCACCATCATCTGTCCACAGGACTGCTATTTTTAGGGTATTGAGTTGGGAAGTTGAGTGGTTAATGACTGAGCTGTTTTAAATAGTTGGACACTTAGTTAATTTGGAGATTCTTTGTGTGTATCATCTTTACAAATGAGGTCAGTGAGCACATGTCTGCTAACAGTTTTAAAAGTCTCTCTGCAGTAAAGTGGTTGTAGGGCCTTTTTCGTGGAGAGGCTTTGTGTTTGGAATTTGTTTTGGTTTATCCTAGTCTTGCAGGGTTCTGGTAACATTAAGGGCATAATTTGGGATATAGTCTTTAGAGAGGCATTTTGCAACAGACATTATTTTAAAACATGAAATGGTTATTGGTATTGGTTTACTTATTTTAACTTTTTTTCCCATTATCTTTAAAATAGTGTGTTCTTGGAGGAAAATTGGGGGGGGGGCGGAGAGGCAAAACCTAGAGCCAGGCCAGCTGCCAGTCCCCATTCTTCCTCTAAGTTGCTTTGTGACATTTGGACCTCAGTTTTCTTAAGAAAAAATTGAAGTGGATAAAAGTGAATTTGTAACAGCCTTTTCCATTGTAGTATTCTCTGGTTCTGACTGTATGACTGATGTCACTGCTTCTGATAAGAGAGAAGCATGGGCTGGGAGGGATAGCCCTGAACAGTTTAGGATTGAGACCATAATGAAAGGATTGTGTTTGACTTTTATACATTTGAGTTCTTTGACACACTTCATAATGGATTAGCTATTTATTTTTTATCCCATAGTATAAAATTATTTCTTGTGGTACTTTGGCAGCACATATACTGAAGTTGGAACAATATAGAGAAGATTAGTGTGGCCCCTGCATGAGGATGACACAGAAATATCTAAAATAAATAAAAAAGAAAAATACTTTCTAATCATTAGAAAAAAGTCTTCCTTTCCTTCCCCTTTCCCTCCCTCCCTCCTTCCTCTGTAGGTTTGCTTGAACCCAGGATTTGAGGTTGCTGGGAGTTAGGCTGATTCTCATAGAGTGTCTGGGGCAATAGGTAAGACGCTCTCAAAAAAAAAAAGAGGAATTCTTCCCTCCCCCCAAAGAAAACCCCTAGAAAACAACTTTGGGGTTGTTTATGTTATCATTGTAGGGATAACTCTTAGAATATAGTTTTGATTGTCCACTCACATATTTTCTCTAGAGGTGGCAGTTTTAGTCAAGAAAAAATTACTGAGCTTATTCCCAATTTTCAGTATTTCAACAAACATAGTGGAAATTATGCATGTATCTCCAATAAAAGCGCTAAGTTGCACAGACATTCCAAATAAATTTCTTTTTAGGTGTAGTTAACTGTTGTGGTTATCGTGCTGGTT